ACCTAGGGAGAGTAGCAACAGTGCTAAACTTTCTCCATTTGTAGACAGTCTGTCTTACCGTGGACGCATGAACATCAAGGCTTTTGGAGATACTTTTGTAACCCTTTCCAGCTTCATGCAAGTCAACAATTCTTGATCGTAGGTCTTCTGAGAGCTCTTTTCTGCGAGGCATGGTTCACATCAGACAGTGCTTCTTGAAACCAGTAAACCCAAAACAGGTGTGTGTTTTTTAAGGGCAGGACAGCTGTCAGCAACACATCCAATATCATCACACTGATTGGAGTCAAGGTTGGCTCACTCCTGACTCCAATTAGCTCTGGGAGAAGTCATTAAGCTAGGGCCTCACATACTTTTTCCTCCCTGCACTGTGAATGTTTACATGTTATGTGCAATTAAACCATGGCAACATCTAATGTCTGTGTAGTATTATGTTCAGCAGACTGTGTTCTATTGTTGTGACTTAGATGACGTTCAGAACACATTTTATGCCCAATTCATGCAAAACTCCACGTAATCCCAAGGGGTTCACATACTTTTTTCTTGCAACTGTATGCCAAATAAAGTGTTTAGCCTTACAGCAAAAACTCAATTTTGGTATCATATCACAGAAGCTTCTTCCAACCCTCTATCATGTTATGTGAGTTTTAGGTGACTATGGCTATCCTTTGACACTCCCATAAACGGAGGGGACTGGTGAAGCACCTGGATGACAATTTTTGAATGTATAGTCTTTCCAATCTCAGCTTCTGAAGCCTGTAACACCTTCACAGTGGTATTAGTGTTTGTGCAAGGAGGGAGGCCACAAAGACCTCACTTCTCGTGAACAGCCTGTTCTTTGCAGATTTACAGCTGTGCCCTACAATTTATTTTTTAATGACCGATTTACTGGTACTCCAAAGGATTTGCATTGTCTTTGAAACTATCATGTGGTCATCCAGACTTTTAGGCTTGAAGTGTTCTTTGGTCTTTATGATGTAGGTTATACCATGAAACTGCCTCACTTGAAAACCCTTCACTACAAACTTAATTTACCCAAGTATGTGACTTCGGAAAAGAATTGGCTGCGATGATTTAGGTGTGTCATAATAAAAAGGGAATGTATGCATCTACAATTGGTTATTTAGTTTTTTCTATGCAATATATTTTTCTTGCAAAACATTTTAATCACTGTGGAGAGGTTTATTTTCACTTTGACATTAAAATGCTAAAAATAATAAATCCACTAAGATCGAATCTTTTATAATAGTCAACATGAAAATTTACAAGAGGGGAATACTTTTCATGTGTACTGTCATTGTGACAGGTGTATTAGCAGAATAATGAAAAAGCAGGTACAATAAATATGTCCAAAAAAGTATCTGGTAGTGTTCAGAACATAACTGTAACCTGGCATAAGAGAAATGTGGCAGAGCTTCAGTTGACCAATGAAAATTTGTCATAGGAGGCCTGATGCCGAATTTGAAAAGGTCAGAATATATACTGTATGCCATACAGCACCTATGGGTCAGTGACTCTGGCTGCAGTAATAGAACACCAAAACAAAACAAACATTTATCATCTCTTCCCTATTTCTTTTGTTTTTACCATGCCTTCTACATGAATGGATAATTTCAGAAAAACATTATTTGCATAAGACCTTTGGGTGGGCTATAGTGCTGCATGGAAAGGCAGCCAAGCACCCTAAAAAGTAAGATCTGGCATCAAAGGATATCCACTATGCAATGTGCTTTTCTTTTATATTTGACAGATGTTTTTACATACAGCCTTGCAGACAGAGAAAGGCTAGCATTACTCCCATTGATTACCTTTGTCAAGCTAATACTGTACACTCCACTCATTGCTCTAACAAATTTAAAACATTTTGGTTTCCAGTCTACCCTATTATAATAACCAATAGATTTCACTATAGAGAGCAGAAAACATAGTTCTAAACACAGTAACAACATAATAATATGAACAAATGGACTTATCAAAAGGAACGTTACATAAAACACATACAATATATATATACACACACATACAGTGCTCAATGAGGCCAGGCATTGTCATGCACCAGGAGGAACCCAGGACCCACTGCACCAGCGTAGGGTCTCACAATGGGTCCAAGGATTTCATCCCAATACCTCATGGCAGTCAGGGTGCCATTGTCTAGCTTGTAGAGGTCTGTGGATCCCTCCATGGATATGCCTCCCCAGACCATCACTGACCATCAACCAAAACAGTCAAGCTGAACGATATTGCAGGCAGCATAACATTTTCCATGGCTTTTCCAGGCCCTTTCACGTCTGTGCTCAGAGTGATCATGTTCTCATCTGTGAAATGCACAGTGCACCAGTGGCAGACCTGCTAAATCTGATTTTCAATGGCAAATGCCAATTGAGCTCTATGGTATTGGGCATAGGGTCCATTAGAGGACGTTGGGCCCGCAGGCCACCTTCGAAGTCTGTGTCTGATTGTTTGGTCAGAGATATTCACACCAGTGGCCTGCTGGAGGTCATTTTATAGGATTCTGGCACTGCTCACCCTGTTCCTCCTTGCAAATAGGAGCAAACACCGGTCCTGCTGATGGGTTAAGGACCTTCGACGGCCCAGTCCAGCTCTCCCAGAGTGACTGCCTGTCTCATGAATTGCCTTCATGCTCTTGAGACAGTGCTGGGAGACACAGCAAACCCTTCTGGCAATGGCACGTATTGATGTGCCATCCTGGAGGAGTTGGACTGCCTGTGCAACCTCTGTAGGGTCCAGGTATCGCTTCATGCTACCAGTAGTGACACTGACCCTAGCCAAACGCAAAACTAGTGCAAAACAGCCGGAAAAGATGAGTAGGGAAAAAATGTTAGTGGCCTCCACCTGTAAAACCATTCCTGTTTTGGGAGTCGTCTCGCTATTTTGAAGGGACACTGTTATAAAAGCTGTACACTTACTACTTTACATTGTAGCAAAGTGTCAGTTCTTCAGTGTTGTCACATGAAAAGATAGAATCAAATATTTACAAAAATGTGAGCGGTGTACTCACTTCTGAGAGATACTGTACATACATAAATACATTGGGTAAAATACATAATGAACAAGTCCCCCTTTTTCTCAGTAAATATATTTCTAAAAAGTGCTAAATCGACATGAAATTTTCACCACGCTGGTAACAACCCATGCAAGCCATACATACAAAGAAACCAAAACAAATAAGTTCAGAAATTAAGTTGTGGCCTGGCTCACAGTCTCCACTCCAATTCATCCCAAAGGTGTTATATCGGGTTGAAGTCAGGACTCTGGGCAGGCCAGCCAAGCTCCTCTACCCCTAATTCACTCATCCATGTCTTTATGGACCTTGCTTTGTGCACTGGTGCGCAGTCATGTTGCAATAGGAAGGGGCCATCTCCAAACTGTTCCCACAAAGTTGGAAACATGAAATTGTCCAAAATGTCTTGGTATACTGAGGCTTTACGAGTTCCCTTCACTGAAACTAAGGAGCTAAGCCCAACCCCTAAAAAAAACAACCCCACACCATAATCCCCCCTCCAAACTTTACACTTGGCACAATGCAGTCAGGCAAGTACCATACTCCTGGCAACCGCCAAACCCAGACACGTCCATCGGATTGCCAGACAGAGAAACGTGATTCATCACTCAAGAGAACACGTCTCCACTGCTCTAGAGTCCAGTGGCAGCATACTTTACACCACTGCATCCTACGCTTTTCATTTCACTTGGTGATGTAAGGCATGGATGCAGCTGCTCAGCCATGGAAACTCATAACATGAAGCTCTCAATGCACTGTTGTGCTAATCTGAAGGCCACATGATGTTTGGAGGTCATTAGCTATTACTACAGACAGTTGGCGACTTCTGCACACTGCACTTCAGCATGTGCTGACCCTGCTCTGTCATTTACCATGGCCTACCACTTCGTGGCTTAGTTGCTGTTGTTCCCAGTTGCTTCCACTTTGTTATATTACCACTAACAGCTGACTGTGGAAAATGTAGTAGCAAGGAAATTTCACGGATGGACCTACTGCACAGGTGGCAACCTCTCATGTTACCACGCATGAATTCACTGAGCTCCTGAGAGCGACCCATTCTTTCACAAATGTTGGTAGAAGTAGTCTGCATGCCTAGGTGCTTGATTCTATAAACCTGTGGTGGCCATCTTAACGTAAATAAATTGTGAGATTTTTTTTTTACATATATACACATTTGTTTATTACATATACAGACTGTGGTCTGCTTAGTAGTTATGCACACTGGATATTCTTAGTAAAATATAGATCAATTAAACGTGTGAATGTCAAATCAAACATTACTTCTGCGTAAGCATTAAAACAGAACTCCATGCAAGTTGCTGAAAACTCAGATGAGCTACATAAGTATTGGAACAGTTTTAACAATTGAAGCCAGTTTTGTTTTCTAGGCATTCCTGTCTAACAGCCAGCAAAAACCCTGACCTCCTCTTTAGCAATACAGCTTGGTCAAAAAGACTGGAAAAACACTGGTCAATGAGGGAGCAACAGTACCCTCGCCATCCCTGGGATAACACTGCTTTCTTCTTCTAGCAGCATGCTTACTGCACATACCCATGCATTAGAACCCAAATGCTCAGAATGCTTATCATTTTTCCCAGCCTAGACCCACTCTGTGCAGGGGATTTCATTGTGGCAACATAAAGATGTAAATGCATTTACAGTAGTTGGGTTTAAAAACACAATTTTGAAAGAATACATACCCACATGGGGTTTTTATCAACATCTGGAGTTCAGTTTTAAGAAATAACTTGGACTGTGTACTGAATGAAAATATATGGGTTAGTATACCAAAACTGGAGAATGCAAAGTCGGATGCAGCTCTGCATAGAAAGCAAACAGCTTTCAGGTTTTTTCTGTCAAAGTTTAATTGAACAAACTGAATTTATAGGCTGATTGGCTACCATGCAAAGCTGCACCAGATTTTGCACTCTTCAGTTTTCGTAAAATCAACCCCATAGTGTGTTAAAATGACGCAACTTACTACATTACTAAGTCCGCACTCAGCCATGTCAAAGACAACGGTCAGGAGTTTCCCCGGCTCCCTCTTGGCATATCGCTCCAGCCAAAATGCTACACATTTCTTCTTGTCGTCATTCGTTTTGGCATCTCGAACATGAAGCTTTACTCGGAGCCAGACTACAAAACCAAAAGGAAATAAATGAGCTGCTTTAGCAAAAAGAGAATGAGACAGATAATGTTGAAATCTAAAGACCTACACTGTGCTAAAATACCAATCATGGCTAATTTTAATTTTTAAGAGTCATATCTAAAAGCAGAACTCAGTTTTCCCCAATCAGCATTAACTATTTTTAATCCTTATGCCCTTGGCCTTAGTAAAATTGATATGAAAACATATTGTATCTTGTTTAAATGTTTTCTTTTTTACATTTCTTCAGTTGCTTCCTGTTTTTTGGCCTAAGCCAAAATTATTTCACGCATCCCAGGAGTCTGCATGGGTATTTTTTTTATTGTATTTTTCTTTCACCTGCAGAAGGGGAGGAAGGCCTCTCTGAACTAAAACCACACACCCTTCTGCATGCATGCTAAGGGCACATGGATTTCAGGGTGTAAATGTTGCACAAATCACCTGCCCCTACTCAAGGTGGTTGCAGCTAGAAATGCCAGGGGGCATTTACACAGTGATTTCTCAACAAAAAAAAGCATGGAGATATGCTTAGTGATGTCAATACGGTTTCCAGTTATTCTTTTATAAGGCTGACATGAACAAGAAATGCCCTGCCTTTACCAAGATGGCTGCCCTAGAATAGATCCTTGTGATCAAGCTGTTATTGGTGAAATGCGTTAAGGAGAGAGGACTTCTGGGTGGTGACATCATATTATCAGCTGTACAATAGATAGCTCAATTGTGAAGTACTCCAGAAAATGAGATGTTGGTGTGTGGCATCTATAATTTTTTCTTTATATGTATACAAATGTTTTGCCTTTAATTTCTATTTTACATTGAATGGGTTGTTGTACAAGGTAAGGGTTTATTTAAATCACCAATAGGCCTTTACCTTATCATTTTAAGATGCAGTACCGCTTGATGTACCTTCAGAAGTACAGATAATGCGTAGATTCAGCCAGTACATTCATTCTTTGAGGTTACAAGCAATTAATAAGATGTCTAGACCAGATTTATGTGAGCTGAGAAGTGCATGACACTACACAGTCGAAATCTGAACTCATAAAAACAGTCTCTCTTCTACTAATTAAAAGAAGCACCGGCATTTCAGAGAAGATCCAAACTGGATATTATCATTTTAATGCAAGTACAAGAATGCAACGCATAATGTGTTACTGACTGGCACATTGAGCAAGATTTCACATGACTGACTGCTGGACAACAAAGAACTGATAGAAGAAAGCCTGGCCTAGTCATGAGACTATTGTTTATTCCAGAACAGAGACTTCACAACAACTTCTGCACTAAGTGACACATTAGCATTACTACTCTTCTGAAGAGTGCATGCAAGGGAAACAACATAAAAGCCGTATTGAAGCAACACCACTGGTTAAGCTGTAAAGAAGTGTGCCTGTTTACAGTCCTTGGATCTGAATAGAACACGATGTGTAGCCCTGCTAGGCTATAAAGTTCAACCATCAATTATTCTTCTTGATATCTCAAACACCACAAAATAACATGCAACAAGCAACAGGATAAGCATGAAAAGCCCTTAATTAGATGACCTCCAGCTTCTTGCGTCAACCATAGCCAGGTACAGAATGCAAACGTGATGGAAGCACCAATTCTGTGCAATGGCCATCTGTATGCTTACAGGGTAAACACGGTTATGAATCAAAGACCTTGGTTTAATAAAAAAGTGCATTTTAGGGAGCACATTTTGAGTTACTTCAGCTTTTACACTTCTATTTTTTATTGTATTAAATCTAGAGATTTGTAGATTGAAGGATAAGTTCACCTTTTTACAAAATAATAAAAGCTTTTTTTTTTTCCCCAGGTAAAAAAATGTGCAATTATTTATTGTGTTAGAAGACTAAATCAATCTAAAGCAATGCACCATAGATCAGCAGATCGCCGATGCCATGCAGGTCTCCTTCACACTGCCAGTGTATCGGTTTGCTCGTACATCCCATACGTGCAAGTCGATACTTGCTGACAGGAGGATTTAATGAACTACCACAGAGTTCACAGGACCTTGGTAGTTCATTGAGGACTAAAAGCCATTAGCAGCTAAGGCTGTCGGGACTTGTAGTTCATTCATTAACAGAACACTGTGAATGAATTACACACAACCTCACGGTTTTTAAAAAACGTACAGCTACTATGAGGAGTTTGCGTATGTGGGGGTCAGTCGGTGGCAGCTGCAGGATCGGGAACATGAAAAAAATGGGTGGAACATGTAACATTTTCCCAAAGATGAACTTATCCTTTAACCTAGAGGGACCTCTCAATACCTGTAAAATAAGAGATCTGCCACAAGGAGTGCATTTAATCAGTCAGCTATCCTATAGACTTCTATAATGAGATGAAGCACTACAACAAGGCAAATGTTCAGTTCTACAAAGTAGGAAGCAGAATGTGCATATATAATGAACAAATATGGCTACTCAATATACATTTTTAATAAATTATACACAGGATTTTTTTTTTTATATTAACCGCCATTTACACCATGCCCACAAATTAATTCCACAGAAATGCGCTCTGCGTTCCTGTGCGATTCAGACCACATGCATAACGCACTTCATTTGCGATCTGCAGTGGGTGTCAATACAATGTTAATGACACCCCAAACGCATGCACTACTTTCGGTGCAGTGCTATTTTAGCCCATCCAAAATGAATGGGCTGAAATCACACCACAAAAAACAGCATGCGAATCGCACAGAAATGCACAGCGTGCTCCTGTGCGATTAAGGTGTGGGCATTATGTGAACCAGCCATAAAACCCAACCAAACCTTCAGTTTAAACTCAGCTAAATACATTCCAGGTAAATGAAAACAAAAGTGTTCATTGTCTTACATTTTGTTTTCTTTCTAAACCAATCACATCCCAAGTAGAAAAGACTGCCCCGCTGCCAGCAGCTGCAGAGAGGGATCCTTAATTTAAGTGCGCAAGGTGCAGAAGTCAAACATGTCCCTGTTGAGTTGGACTATAGCTTTGCAGTTACCAAAGGTTGTTCTCTCTATTGGTTGGATTTTTTCTGACTTAGAGAAGCGTGTTGGACCTCTGCAAAGAGATTACTGCTTCTCTACAGATAGCAAGGGTCACACTCTGCAGGAGATAGGCTATCCTATTCTGTGACTGCTTTAGAAAGAAAACAAAGACCCTGCACTCCTTTCATTTTGATTCCTTTCGATTTAAATTGAAGCTTCAACCTACTGTACTCTGAGAAGATTATATACATTAACTCTTTTAAATGTTCAACCTCCCTATGTAGCCTCTTAAGCAACACCATCGTGTGTAATTTCAGCACACCTCCGGTGACCTTTAAAGGCCCACTGACTGTGATTGACAGCAGTGGGAGCCAATGGGGTCAGGGCAGTCTCAGCCAATGAGGAGAAAGAGTTCCCAGACAGCAGAGGCTGTCGAGAATGTCGCTGGATCGGAGGGGGCTCAGGTAAGGATTGGGGGGGCACTGCACACAGGTGGTTTTTTTTTACCTTCATGCACAGAATGCATGAAGGTAAAAAACCTTGAGACTTACAAGCATTTTATGCCTGCCATACACAGCTTGATTTATGTCTGAATCCTGCTGAACAAGCTGCAAATCAAGCCAGATAGAAAACGGTTTGTTAAACAATGACTGCACCCAATCAGATGCAGTTACGGTTTGGATATTCTGCCAGCTGCAAGAATACAACAGTGGGCAGTGGAGATACCTAGAGAAGTTTTTAGAATTAGATTTCTTTCATTCAGTCCATGGAGCTATGTGTTCACGGCTAGTGCAAGAATCTTTCAAAATATGTCCATAGTGAGCTGGCATCCATTGCCGGGAAGGGGTAGAAAGCCACTGATGACAGACACAAAAAATGTACTGTACAGATTCCGCAAACAGTGTGGAGGAAAAGTAAAAGTATGTATCTTGCAGCTTGGTATAGCCAAACTGCAAGCTAAAAAAAAAAAAAAAAAAAAAAAAAAAAATCGAAAAAGCAAAAAGAGAAAGAGACTACGGTCATTTTAAAGAGCAATTCCAGGTCTGGATATTTTATACAAAGTTATATTGCGCTAGATCGAGCCAATGTAACCATGTATATATGGTATAGCTGGCCGATGTCCCTGGAAGCTTGCAATCACTGAAGCAGACACTGCTACTCCAATGATCTCCACTTTCTTTCAAGTCGTAGGCTGAGTGGCTGGCCTGCTACATTCGGAACACAGGAGGTTGGCTGCTTAGCACAAGAACCATTCAGAGAATGCATTTTCTGGATGAATACAAAAGCATTCTCTGAACAAGGTGGCAAGGCTGAGTGGTTACATCACGCTCTGATGTTGATTATAGGAAGTAAACAGTCAAGCCTACTCCCCTATTCACATTGCATAAAACAACCAAGAGCAGACAAGAGCCATAGGGAAACTATGGTTCTTTATGACGAAATGTTCTGTGGGAGAAATGGGACCAACCCTACAAATCATTGTAACCATCTATAGCAATTTCACATCCAGTGATTCAAGCAGTCCCAAAGAAAATAAAAGTTTCTCATAGGTTTCCTGATGTATCAGAGGAACCATATGCTTTTGTTGTATACGCTATAGTACATTAAACTATGTAATTCTTGCACACAGGTATATCAAATTTTTCATCACAATCCCATGCCAAATAGATTTTCCAGTGAGGAAAATCTGTGCTACGAATTGACAAAGTCCAATTAAAAAATAACTTTATTATGGGTTGTGATACAATAAAAGCGTACTGTATATCACAGGTGTTCAACTTACACAGTTTATTGCCTTCTTTGTCGTAACCGTGTAGATATGTAGCACCGACTTCAAAACACCATCTGGGAATAATGGATTCACTCACATCTGTAAAATATTGAAGAAAACATTCTGTAAGTAATGTGAGATTTAATACTAGTCACCTGTTCTAAATCCTAACCATACAATGTTTCAGAAGCTCTGAAAGATGTGAGAAGTGATCATAAATCTTTTCAATGACGGAATAAAACTGCAAAAAAAAAATTTTTTCAGTAAAATAATGAGTTAGAACCTCATCTGGGTTAATATACTCTTCCCAGGTCTGCCCCCTTCTTCCTCACAAAGCCAATACTTTAGACCTTTACAAAATCTCTCCAAGGTGAAAAAACCTTGGACGGCTGTCACTAGATCAGGTATCCCCACTGATTCTCCTCCTTCCCCTCCACTCTTGTTCTGACTACAGCTCTAGGTTGGATCCCAGCACGTCAGCAGTGCAGGGCTCTAACGCTCATATGAAAAGAGACCCTACCTGATGCTTTTCCTCAGCTTAGCAAAGGGGTTTTCAAAATATAGCTTTCATCCTCTAAAACCCTGCTGAGCCACATGGATCTGGAAGCGAGGTCCAATTCTGCCCCCGGGTGGAAATGTCAGAACCAGAAGTGCCGCCATGATGGATTCAGTCCCAGAGTTGCTGACCGGATCCGACAATGATGCCAGACCAGAACAACGGAGCCAATGGAAGCACCTCCAAAGCCTGGAGTGGTCACTGGAGCCACCAGCATGCCATGAAAATGAAGTATTGCCCCATCTGGCACCACCTGAAGTGGCGCCATGTCTGAACAAACCCCCCCCCCCCCCCCCAAAAGATAGGTATAAGCCGCTTATGAAACTACCAACCAATAGAACCTGGAGGTAGGAACCCAAATACAGAAGCAAAAGCTGGGGGCTTCAGAAGTCATCTAAGTAATCAGCTTTTATTGGGCAAGATCTTGGCATAGGCGCTCTTGGCCAAAGAAGAGGAACACCTTTAGTCAAATCCCCAAACAGACAACAGTGAGTCCAAGGCTAGAGGGAAACCAACTGGTACAACAAAAAACAAACATGCATGTCAATGTACTCCTGGACAGTACTAAACACAAACTAAACTAAGGAACAAGGGGTGGGAAAAAAAATTTGTATTGGTAATTATGCTCGGTCATGGGGGCAATGGTCACCAAGACACAGCGAGGGTGAATCTTGGGAACAGAGTAAAAATAATTAAAAACTCAATGTTTTCCAAGACTTCAAAAACAAAAAAATGAAAAAAAAAACTTTGACTTTAGATGCATTTTGAAGGACAATGGCCATAGCCATGCAAATAATTATTTTATGCCCCAGCAGACAACTTCAGGATTCTGAATTGCTGAAATATAACACAAATATGATATAACTCTTCAGCCACTCAACCTGCACACAGCTATTTCCTAGAAGGCATGCTTTTTATAACTTATACTAAAAATGGAGCAAAAAAGCCTCAACAGTTATGTGCAAGTCAGCATACATTTAGGTTGCATCTGTGCTACTCCAGGCAACAAGTGAAATGAATCAGTCAACTGTAAATGCTATCCATGAAATGTTACAACCATGCTAAAAATATAAAAATACACACAATGTACCCTTATGTGAATTAGATGTAATTCATTGCAGCTACATCCGGTCAGTTCCTCAATTATGCTGCTTGGCAAGCATGCAACGTGCAGAGCCGAGAATACCTAGACTAACAAAAGCTCAGGATCTAGATGATTTTAAACAATGGGGGGAGAGGTGCACTGTGCCATTTATAACTTCCCAGCTATTTCGGGATATAAAACAAATGCTCCAGGCAACACAAACATCCCAGAGTTTTATTTTCAAGTTCAACTGGAGAGTACCTATAAGTCCACCATAAGGCTGGCTATCACAACTGCAGCTTAAATTTGTGCCAACATATAAAAATATCACGCCTGAACTAATGAATAATGTCCTTATGTTGCTATTATAATTGGTACTCATATATTATAATTTGCTACTGATCCTTGGGAAGAACTTAAAAAAAGAAATAATCCCAATAACAAATATATATTTCATAATATTTTATAGGGAACTCTTATCAGTAAGGATATGTAAAAGGTTATTAATAAATAAAATAAATGAATAAAAAAGGCAGAATTCCTAGCTCCTGAAAGGTGTTTTGCATGTTGAACAGAAAAATATGTTTAATGATAAAAGCAGGGAATTAGGTTCTCTCCTGAAAGCACCCTAGTAAAGCAGGCATATATCAGAAGACTTTCAGGATATAATTCAGCTGTTGTGTCATTTCAGTTTGCTAAAAAATTATGAATTATTCTTACAGAGACAGCTTTTCCACAGATTCTGACTTCGTATTTCTCCTCAGATTAGATGCAGTCAACATGCAGCACTAGTAGAGATGTTTATCAGTATAGCCTGTGGGACTTGGTATGCAAACAACAACTAGATGTCCGCATACAGCCACAGAACAGTGGTGCCCTATGAACATCATTATATATGAATGGTCATAAAGCAGTCTTTCAAGCTATGTCAAACAGCAGGATGGGGAATTCACAATTACTGAGAAATCAACAGTTTCATGTCCCAGTTCTCTACCAATCACTATATAGCAGCTGTGAAAACTCTAGAAAAAGTGAAGTCAATACAGACTCGACAAACTATGTCCAGTGGCAGGGCTGTGATGGAAGATGGAAGCCGCCCTACAGCTAGGAGTCTCAAGTCCCCCTACAGTTAGATTTGAGTAAGGGGTGGCGGACCGAAATGCATTTCCATAGCAGTGCTAGCACAGGTAATATTTTCTCTTCCCTGGGATATCCAGGCAACTGTGGACCACAAGAGGTATCTCTCGTAAAGTGGGTCTCTCAGGGTAGTTGCTACTGTTGGCATATGCTTTCAACATGCAGCTAGGCCACTGACCATGATTTTTTGGGCTCCATCTGCTATTGTACTCTCCATCTGTCTTTGATGAGCAGATAGGGAATTACCTATAAGTGTTTTCACACTTTCTACCAATAAATCACCTTTAAAACACAAGGTTTGCACCCTTGTTGCTCCTCATAGTGCGTAATTCTAATGTCCATACTTTACTATCAGTTTAAATAGCTCATTAGGGCCAAGGTGGTCCAAAGGAATGATTTCCTACACTAGCAGGTGTGCCCACCTCAGCTACATACAATATACAGCCTTGTGTTCCAGGTGTGAGAAGAGATCCTCCCATATGACACCTGGAACAAAATAGAGCCAGGCTGTGCAGTGCTAAGCTATTCTTACGCAGTTTTGCATTCTATGAATACAAAACGCCCTCTGATTAGCTGAGGTGGAGAGGCAGGCTGATGATCTCAGCCATTCAGGGGAAGCTTTGTATTCATTGAAGGCATACAAACTGCCTATGAATGGTTAAGCGCCACTCAGCCTGATTATTTTGTACTGGGTGTGAGATGGAAAGGTCTTGTTTCAAACCTGGAGCACAAGGCTGAGGCTACATACAGTTTGTACAGCATGCCCAGCGGGTGCACCTGTTAGTGTGGGAAATAGTTCATTTGGGCAGCCTTGACATTAGCTTTATTCTCTTTGTTCTTTAGGAGCTGCATGCCAGAGCGTATTTTCACAATATCTTTCTCTACATCCTTAGTCATTGTTTATTGTGACCCGGTTGTGGACTGAAATTCACCAGTTTGTGCATACTATACAGTGTGTCACAATCCATTGTTTACCATCATATACAGACTGTCTGGAACAATGACATCTTCCCTTCTTTCCTGATTGGCTGAAACAACTAGCGGAGGTCAGCAAATAGAAGGAAATAATTCATTCTGGTCAAATGAAGTAAAGAGCAATGAAGGAAGCTAAACTGAAAGCATGTAAAAGTTTATGGTGCTTTTGATCAATATAAAAAAGAAGAAAACTGGCATTTGACTGAAAAGTATTACACTTTAACAAGGAAAGATTAAAGGTTCTTTCTCTGCCCAAAACGGACATTGGCTGCTACCCACTGGTTTTCTAACAATAAAACTGCATTTCTTGCTCCATCCACCTACCAATAAAGCAGTACTAAAGGTTCAGTTATTTAAAAATAAAAGAAATGTAAAAAAAAAAAACAACAAACCTGGAGTTATACTAACCTGCTCTGTGCTTTGGTTTTGCACAGAGCAGTCTGGATTCTCCTCTTCTCGGGTCCCCCGCCGGCGCTCCTGGCTCCTCCTTCCTGTTGAGTGCCCCCATAGCAAGCAGCTTGCTATGGGGTCACCCAAGCAGGTGCATTCCCAATCTGCTGCTCCATGTCTCCATTCACACATGGAGCCACAACTCGGCTCCGCCCCCTCTTTCTCCTCATTGGCTCACTGGCTGTAATTGAGGAGGCAGAGACCCATGACATCCAAGGTTCTCGTGCACATTGCTGGATCACGATGAGACTCAGGGGGAGCTGGGTGGACTGCTGCACACAGAAGGTTTTTTACCTACATGCACAGAATGCATGAAGGTAAAAATCCTTCTGCCTTTAAAACCACTTTAACAAGAATGTGTGTTCCCTCATGAATGTTTTAACTTATGTTACACACAATACAACAGTTGAAGTAATATCTTTTGTCCTGGGAGAATGCAGAACACTGTCATGGAAATCTCATTGCCAGTACACAAGTCCTCCCATCAACAACCACTAAGAACCAACATAGTTTTGGATAGAAAGACCCGAAAGCCAATGCAAACTATTTTATTCACTTGATTTTGGTGCCTTTGGGTGTCTTTTATGTACACCAAGGACTAACAAATGTCATGGTCTCTTACCATTAATAGCAATCTCTTTCCTCCATCTGAAGCTTTCATCAATCATCTTCAAAGCTTCCTCAATCACATTATGCCTCCACAGCAGATAGCTTTCCACCCAGCCATCATCTTTCTGAAGTCTTTCTACATCACGGCTATCATATTTACTGGAATTGTCTGGAAGCAAAACAATAATTTAGAAACATGTGAGCATCATTCTACGGTTATAATATATTATTATTAACACCACAGCTATCCCTGGCAATATATGGGGACAGATTTTGAAAATCAAAATTTCAATGGATTACGTTTCAGTGAAGACTGAAAATAAAAGAATAATGGATTGGTAGCTTTTCTGAATTTTTTCTAAATCGTCCTTGAGGCAGAAGTACAACAATCTGTAGAAACTGGACCACTTGTTTACTTAAAGCTCACCTGCTCTGGGGAGTAGAAGTGTATGAGGACTTCAGTTTCAACACAGTCCAAAGATGTTGTCTACAATCATTATAAAAGGGAAAATATAGTGGTTTTGTACATATTTTAAGTTCAGGACGAAAAAAAAAAATATATTTAAAAATGGTTATATTGCACAGAAATGGGAATGCTACACAAGAATTTAAGCCAGTATTAGGTGTAGCTTTATAATATTTTTTTTAATTGTTTTTTTCCGTTTCTCACTACAAAGCTACACTGCAAAGATCAACTGCTAAAGATTACATTAACATACATTCTTATGTGAGCTCTGAATTATCCCTTTTCAGATAGCTCTGTCAGTGGTTTTCAATGAGACACAGCCTGTCTGAAACACAAGTATGATGTGCCCCCACTTTAGCTAACCCATAGTGTTCTAATAATCCATTGTCATAAATTTGAAGTGACCTGGTGTAAGGCTGTGTAGAATGCAGCAAACTGGAAAATCAGACCATTGATAAAAGTGTGAAACATTGTTTTTCTGCTAAACACAATTTCATTGATTGCACATATATTTTAAAAGGATCGGCTGACAGCATTGACGCCTCTCCTGGTGGAATAACAGGCTGCCGAACTCTAAGCCAACTGAGCATACTGCGTGACATCTGCTGAGGTTTGACAGAATGTTTGATAGTGGCTCATCCTCACAAAATGTCAGAGGGGCCAGATCAAATGTCCAGCTAAAATATGCTACAGATGCATCTTGGCAACTCTAGTATACATTTTATTTCTTTGGGGAAACAGAGCCCCATATAACGCCATACAGCATAAAAAATTACAGCCTTTTCAAAACACAAACTACTAAATTACTGGGCAAAAAGTGTAAAGACAAAATCTTTGCAGAACCAGAACTACTACATGCTAATTTAGTAAAAAGTTGGCAAATTTAAAGTGATAGTAAAGGCTCCGGTGTTTTATCCCCTAAATAAAAAAAAAAAAAAAAAAAAAAAAAAAAAGCATGCGCTGCCCACCACTCCTCTTGTGTGCCCCCATGGCAAGCCTCCTGAGTTGGGCCGTGTGCAACCATAGACACACAAGCACAGCTCGGCCACTCCTCCTGTTCCCTCTTCAATGGATTTAACTGACGGCAGCAGGAGCCTATGGCTTCCACTTTTCAGTCTTTCCTGTGAAACCAGAAAGAGAGAACAGTGCTGTTTCTGGATCGAGAAAGGACTCGGGTAAGAAATTTAGTGAGTAAGAATAGGAAGTGAAAGCTTTCTTTACCTTAATGCAGATAATGCGTAAAGGTAAAAAAAACCTTTTGGCTTTAGAATAACTTTACAATCATCTAACCTTCTACTGTTAATTATGCAAGAAGAGACCTCTACATGTCAAGCTATGGCATGACTTGGCCAGCAGCTAACAAGACAGGACACTACTATTGGAAAGTTCGATAAAAATACTATGATTGCTAATATCAAGTTGCCATAATTAAAATTAAAGTGCTAAAGATTGAATTTTTTTTTTTAAATAACAAACATGTTATACTTACTGGCTCTGTGCAACAGTTTTGCACATTGCAGCCCCAATCTTTTTTGGGTCCCCCGCCGATGCTCCTGGCTCCTCCTCTCAGATGAGTGCCCGCAATAGCAAATTTCTTGCTTCCGAGCCACGCTCCAGTGAATAGACATTGTCAATTCAAACACAGAGTGTGGCTTGGCCCTTCCCCCCGCTCTCTCCTTATTGGCTTACTGGCTGTGATTGACAGCAGCAGTAGCCAATGGCTCCCACTGCTGTATGAGCCAATAAGAAGAGAGAGGCTTGAGAGAGCCTAATGTATACCCTAATGTATAGAATGCATTAAAGTTAAAGAACTTCTGCCTTTAGAACCACTTCAACTTCTAAATTTTTTTTTTTAATGGTTTGTTAATCAGCTGTAAATATATCTTGCAACATCCAATTTCCTGCATACCAATCTCACAATTGTTCTCATTTAAAAGTTCAAAATAGTAGCAAAAGTGTAAAATGAGATAAATGATGTTAAAAAAAAAAAAAATTGTATGATGAGAAAAGCACTGGATGATACAATGTATGACAGTAGATTAAAGGAATAGTTAGAGGAAGAAAAAAAAAAAATAGAAAAGTTACAGCACTGGTTAAAGGGCAGCTGTGGCCTGTAAAGGTATTGGCATATAATTATCCGAATTCCGCAACTGTACATACACACCTTGGAAATATTCCTGTTCAAATCTCTTTCTTGTGTCATGGACTAGCTTCTCCTTTTCCTGCAGAAGACAATTTGTCAAAAATTTTAATATGCATGTTATATACAATAGAATAGGCAAAACATCTTACAATACAGATGAACACAAAAAAATATAATTCACACAGCGCAATGTATAGAAAGCTTATATATCAAAATCAAACTATGCAACAAGCAACAGTCAAAGCAGCAAGGGTACATTACTATGAACCTACAGTGCCTTGAAAAAGTATTCATACCCCTTGAAATTTTCCATCTTTTGTCACGTTACAACCAAAAATTGAAATGTATTTTATTGGGATTTTTTGTGATAGACCAACACAAAGTGGCACATAATTGTGAAGTGGAAGGAAAATGATAAATGGTTTTCAAAATTGTTTACAAATAAATATCTGAAAAGTGTGGCGTGCATTTGTTTTCAGCCCCCTTTACTCTGATACCCCTAATTAAAATCTAGTGGAACCAATTGCCTTCAGAAGTCATCTAATTAGTAAATAAAGTCCACCTGTGTGTGATTTAGTCTCAGGATAAAACACAGCTGTTCTGTGAAGACCTCATAGGTTTGTTAGAGAACATCAGTAAACAAACAGCATCATGAAGGCCAAGGAAAATACCAGACAGGTCAAGGATAAAGTTGTGAAGAAGTTTAAAGCAGGGTTAGGTTATAAATAAAAATATTCCAAGCTTTGAACATTCCATGGATCACTGTTCAATCCAACATCAGAAAATGGAAAGAGTATGGCACAACTGCAAACCTACCAAGACATGGCCATCCACCTAAATTGACAGGCCAGGCAAGGAAACCATTAATCAGAGAAGCAGCCAAGAGGCCCATGGTAACTCTGGAGGAGCTGCAGAGATCCAAAGCTCAGGTGGGAGAATCTGTCCACATGACAACTATTAGTCGTACACTCCACAAATCTGGCCTTTATGGAAAAGTGGCAAGAAGAAAGCCATTGTTGGAAGAAAGCCATAAGTAGTCCCATTTGCAGTTTGTGAGAAGCCATGTGGGGGACACAGTAAACTTGAAAGAAGGTGTTCTGGTCAGATGAGACCAAAATGTAACCTTGGTGGCCTAAAAGCTAAACACTATGTGTGGCAGAAAACACACACTAACACACCATCACCATGAAACATGGTGGTGGCAGCATCATGTCGAGGGGATGCTTTTCTTTAGCAGGGACAAGGAAGCTGGTCAAACTTGATGGGAAGATGGATGGAGCCAAATATAGGGCAATCTTAGAAGAAAACCTGTTAGAGTCTGCAAAAGACTTGAGACTTGGGCAGAGGTTCAACTTCCAGCAGGACAACGATCCTAAACATGCAGCCTGAGCTACAATGGAATGGTTTAGATCAAAGCATATTCATGTGTTAGAATGGCCCAGTCAAAGTCCAGACCTAAATCCAATTGAGAATCTGTGGCAAGACTTGAAAATTGCTGTTCACAGACGCTCTCCATTCAATCTGACAGAGCTTGCGCTATTTTGCAAAGAAGAATGAATAAACATTTTACTCTCTAAATGTGCAAAGCTGGTAGAGACATGCCCAAAAAGACTTGCAGCTGTAATTGCAGCGAAATGTGGTTCTACAAAATACTGTCAATGTTTTAATTGAAAACAACTTCAATTAGCACAATTAATCTAAAATGTAATCATTATGGTAATGTAACTCAACATATAGGGTGTGATTTACTAAAACTGGTGAATACAGAATCTGGTTAAGCTCTGAAAAGAAACCAATCAGCTTCAAGTTTTTTTTTCGTCAAAGCTTAATTGAACAAGCTGAAGTTATTAGCTGATTGGTTTCCATGCAGAGCTGCACCAGATTTTGCTCTCTCTCAGTTTTAGTAAATCAATCCCCCAGTGTCAAGGGAGAACAGATTACTTCAGAATTCAAAAAGCTGTCCAAACTACCTGCCATAATGCAATTTTAAAGTGGATCTAAAGGCTGAAGGATTTTAACCATCATGCATAGTAAAAACCTTCAGTGTGTAGCTCCTCCCCCTCAGCACCCCCTAATACCTACCTGAGTCAGACCACAATCTAGCTGTCAGGGACCCCAGATTTGTCCACGATCGCGCACGGGTCTGCGCATGCGTGGTATGCTCAGTCGCACTAGCGTGCGAGCATTGGGACCTGGACACCCGCGACGGCAGCGGCGGTCGCGCATGCGCACTCGCAATCGCGCGCCTGGCACCAATCAGGGCGCCCTATTTAAAACAGGTCAGGTCTGTGCTCTAATTGCCGTATGGTCTTACCTGTATCCTGTGTTCCTGATTTAAGATTGCTTTGTTGCCGACCCTGCCTGACCTTGATGTGCTGATTGTCTCCTGCACTGAACCTTGGCTTGCCTGACCATTCTCCTGTCTAATCCCACACGTTTTGATCTCCTGTTACCGAACCCGGCTCGTGACCAGTTTATCCTTCTGTCTACTGTTTTGTACCGTGCTGCCTCCACCGCTACCGACCCGGCCTGCCCAACTCTGCTCTTCCTACTTCCTTACATCAGGCTCTCACCTGCTATACACCTCCGGCAAGCGCTTCTACCACAGCTGGGTGTACCCAGGGGCCGCGACCTGGTTTCGGCCTGCTCCAAGTCCATCCCCAACATCAAGGGTCCTGGTTAACAAGCAGGTCGGGGCTTAGATACCGCGCCTTGGGGAATTCCGGTCTGTGGAACGCTAGAGGCTACAGCCGGCAGGTCCCTAACACTAGCGCTGTGCAAGTGGCTTTCCCGGGTTTCTCCCTCCATTGGTGTAACGGAACCGACCCGGACTACGCTTGAGTACTTCCGTTAGACTACCACTTCCCTGTCTGAACACCGACAACAGACACCACAGCCGACCATACAAAACTAGACAACACCAGTCTTGAAGTAAACCAGAGTAGACTACTTTATTTGAACACAGATACAAAATATATACACTCAGGGAACAACCCCCCTCCCTGCATAATGACACAGGGCGGGGCAATCTACATTTAGTAACAAGAGACACACAGGTATTCAAACTTCACACCAGCAGACAGTCCCATCAGGAAGGAGGGCTGCTGGAGAACCCCCCCCCCCCCCCACACACACACACACACTAAGCTAATACACAAACACATATGTCCCATATTAGTTTGCTCCAAAGCCAGACAAACAATAGAACAATGGGATGCAGCCACATAACATTAAACAATCAACAACCCAACACCCCCCCCCCCATCTCCTATACATGTCTACATAGTCCACACAATATTAGGACAGATGACCATGTACCCCTAACAGGCACAGGGTGATTTACACATAAGAGCGATATGGGGAGCTGAGACAGAGGTCTCCCCACCTCTCCAAATTGAGCTGGGTTCCATGGGCCCCCCACCCAAAGTAACTCCCGTCACAATTGACTCCTGTTGCTGTCAATCACAGCCACAGAGGAGGGAGCGGTGGGGGGGGGGGTTGTGGCTGAGCTGTAGTTCGTTTGTGTCCTGTAGATACACAGATGGGGCTCAGGAGCAAGCAAACATGAGTGCCCCCAGAGCAGGCAGCTTGCTCCAGGGGAACAAAAGGGGGAGGGGCCAGGAGCAGCAGCAGGGATCCCAAGAAGAAGAGGATTGGGCTGCTTTGTGAAAAAAACAGTGCACATAACAGGTAAGTATAACATGCCTGTTATTTTTCTTTTAAAGTGAACCTTTAGTCAGGGACATGTAACAAAAGAAAACCGTTTAAGTCTAACTATAAATTTTGTTTTCAACCTAAATGATTTGTCCAGCACTGTACATTACCCCTGAAGTTCTTCGGAGAGTTCAAGACTACCCAATTGGTGGCCAGAGGTTTGCATGTGGCCCATGGGGGCCTTCTTTTGTAGTAATGGTGTAGTAGGGGGATACAGCAGCAGTAAACAAGGTGTACGGTGGGGTCCGAGGACTGAGATGGAAGGTTATCTTATGCATGTTCTTTCCTGATTTGATCACAATACATATACTATGATCATCATTGGATATTTTTGAAATGGAAACTTTATATTTTCCCTTATTTATAAGTGATCACATTTCCTCTGCTGTCAGCTGCAAAAGGAGCTAGGGGAGGAGAAACAGCAGCACATGATCTTCCCAGTGAATGGCTGTGCAGGGGGTGTGTGTCAACAGAAACTTGATCATTGGATTAGCTCTAATGCCTAGATTGGTCAGTTTTTAATAGGAAAGCGGAAGGACTAGTGGGATCATCAGGTGTTTCACACAAAATAAAATACAAAGAGAACAGGACACTTTTTCATGCAAGTACATGGTACAGCAGGTGCATATCACGAATGTGAAATGTTGGGTTTACATATTCTTTAAGGCAAATCATCAGCCAGGTGAAATAAATAAAACACATTAGGTTAGATTTTATAAACTATGCTCACACAGTATATCATTTGAAATATAAAAATGAATACTAACTAAATATCTTACGAATCCATATTTTGCTGTATGGCTGCCATATAGTAGCTCCAGATAATATGAAGAAAATTCCAGTGGATATGAAAGTCAAGTCTGTGAATATGTTCTCAGTACGATGTCCCCAGTGAGCCTGCCTGTGCTCCCGTGTCCTTGAACTGTCAAGCGGTGACATTTCAGAGTGTGATCACAGGACTTGGCTTTATCTCTCCACAATAAGGCACTTTACATTGCACTGGATCTATCCAAGGCATTTCCAAAATGTTATCCACCTGTTACTAACCAGACCAAGGCTTCGACTTGACGTGATCAATTGGCTCTGGTCCGCGTCTTTTTTTTTTTTTTTTTTAAACTTTATACATGTGATGCAAACCCAGTGTAATATCAAACTACCATTTCTAGGGAAACATTGTTTATGGGGTTTCTTAACAGTCAGGAACAGATTGACACAATGGAAAAAAAAAAAAAATGGAATTGAGCATGGCCACTCATATTTCTTAGCATAGCAAAGTAGGTCTACACCAAGGAAAGAAATGCCGCCTCCTATGATGCAAAAGAAGCTGCCACTATATTGCCCTGTGTAAGCTATGCTGTCAGTTAGAAC